GTCACGTGTGTGCGCGGGGGGGGGGAAAGGAGATGGGAGCGGAGTCGGGGCGAGGGGGGGGGAAGATGGGATCCGGAGGGGCGGCAGATTGGGATCGGGGGGGGGATCGTAGTCGGGCGTAACTGAAAAATGCAGTATTTGAAAGCGGCGCCCGAATTGCAGCATAGCGCCAGTTGTCCGAAATCCTACGGTACCAAAGGAGGAGTTTGGGAAAAGGGCGCCAGGCCGAAAATGGGATGCAACTGAAACAACAAAAAAATAGACCAGGGATCGAGCCCTGGCGAAGTCCGTAACAACTCCCATCGCAGTGCCTGCAGGGGCAGCTATCGCCACAACAAACGAACCATTTCCCTACGAATATGAGTCAATAGTAAGATGTGAAGTTGGTGGATGTAAATTATTTATAGTTGTCGTGAGGTTCACGGAGATCGACGTGTATGATGTGCGAATTTATGGAAGACAAGGAGAAACGGGGACAGTGCAAGAGTATGTGGAATGTTATAAAGCAGCTTTGCAAGTCCACGAGGAAAAAAAAAAAACATTGATGCGCGAGTGCAAAAAACTTGAAGGCTGGTCTGCTTTCGTAACCGACTTTGAAAGCATGCCTGTTCCACCTATCCCGACGTGCATGTTGGACGACTCAAACGATGCGAGCATGTGGATTCTCATTATTAGTGCAACAAATAGGAGCCGCCGATAATATGAAAGTACGAAAATGTGAGAGTATTCAAAGATGAGAAGTTGCTAAGTATGAGACAAGGAGCAACGATGACATTCACATGTGGATAAATGTTCAGTTATTTAGTGCATATACGATTTGGGAGCTAAGTTAACGTCTAATTTTGCATTTTGCGATTTTTGTCTCTCCTTGGGGTGAAGATCGTAAACATGGAGAGAGAGAGAGAGAGAGGGAGAGAGAGAGAGAAAGAGAGAAAGAGAGAGAGAGTGGGATCATGGTGAGGAGAAGAAGATGATGAATTGTTGAGAGTACTGCGTTGGCGAGGAGGTGGGCTGGAGGGGGTAAGGGGGAACTGGGACTCGGTGGAGCTTGAATTGTGGGGTCAGGGAAAGGAGATGATGGCATGACGGAGGAGAGGGGTTGAGGATGTATATGTGTGTGTGTATGTGTGTGTGTTTGTGTGTGTGTGTGTGTGTGTGTGTGTGTGTGTGTGTGTGTGTATGCAGGACAAGACAAGGATCAAGCAATATCCTCTCGTCATGCAGCACCGCAACCTGGATTGATCTATACTCATTTGATCTTGCCTGGGCTAACTACAAAACAGATGCTCTTCTCAGGCATGCTCCATGATGAAGCACGATATGCCAGTCCACATTTTTGGTGAGAGGGTAGTCTGATCCTTAAGATGAAATGACCACCCCCTAGGTTAGGTTTGTTGATTTGTGACAAAGACTAGATTTTCATTTATTGTTCTTTTTTTTTTTTCTGGTGTTTCGTTGGTTCGTTAATCAGATATAACTGTTTGTGGATCCGACAGAACGAATTTCTTCGATTCCGACTAAGCAAACGTTTGTGCTTGAGAACCGAGTTCGGCGTGGAACACACACATCGACGGAAGTGCTGCGCAGGTCAGTATCCGGTGTATTATGACATTTTTTTGTTAATTTTTGATCTCTTATTGCAATTACGAATACCAACTGCATTCAAATATAATTCATGTCAGCCTTACAGCAATTCGTACATTTACTATACGATGGATAAAACTTCTTTTTCCTCGTATTTGTCCCTACCTCTTGATATTTTCATTACATGGTTGTTTTCCACCATTCAAGCACATCCCTAACTTTCTTCTTCCTCTTAATTAGTAGTTAATGCCTTCCATTGGACAGCAGGATGACTTTTGTGATACAGTAGAATAATGTGGACCCCGCCCAAAAAAAAAAATTGAAACAAAATTTCGGTAAATAACAATGTTAGATATTTAATATACATAGATATCGTCAAACAGAGCTCATGTTTTGTGGTCCGACCGAGAAACGGATCAGGGGCTATCTGGTAGCCTACACCCCAACTATTTTTAACATTTTTTTCTAAATGATACTGTTTTATGCTAACTGTTAGCGTCGGATCTAATTTCTCTCTCAACTCTCATTTTCTCTTTCTTATCTTTCTCTGTTTCTCCTCTCTTTCTCTCTCTCACTGTTTGTCTCAGTGTAAAGCTGAGACAGGTGACACAATTTTCTACAGATTTCTTGTAGTTGATTTAAATGGAAAACGGGACAGTAACGAATGCGTACAATTCATTTTACGGTTTTATATTGCATCGTCGTGAACTGAAAAAAAAAAAAAAAAAAAAACAATGCAATGGAGGGGTTTGGGGTGTAGGGTTTAGGGTTCAGGGTTTTGGGTTCAGGGTTTAGGGTTCAGGGTTTTTTACATCGTCGATAGCAAATATAAAGATCGCTCTATTTGCATCGTCGAGAAACCAAGATCCGACAGAAAGAGCAAGTTTCATAAAGAATTTAGAGGCGCTAAACAATATTCTATTACATCACTTAGCCCCTATGCGTCTTGAATACCCGCGAGTGGGAGTGAACTACGTTCGAAATGGGTTCTCGGCGGTAGCAAGGTGAGTTCAATTCTGCGAGTACATGGAAAATATTAGCTTTATGCTCAGCCTGTCTCCGATGGGTGAGGGGAAGTGTGGGTTCGACACAACACTTTGGGTGTTGTGGGCGAAGGTCGACCCGCACCAAGGGTGATATCCAATCACACGTTAGACCATCCGCAAAACTACACATCATTTCTCCACGACGGACCAGGGTAGGGGGAGTGTCATGTCGGTATGGACACTCTCAGTAGGTCTGATACATCCCGTCGTTCGTTAACCACGGGGGGGGGGGGGGGGGGGTTGGGTGGTGACGAACATGCCGTTAGGAGTTCAATGGTATCACATACGTACCATATCCATTGAAAATTTACCCTCACTTCGTGCTCTACTTTTGTGTGTGTGTGTGTGTGTGTGTGTGTGTGTGTGTGTGTGAGAGAGAGAGAGGGAGAGAGAGAGAGAGAGAGAGAGAGAGAGAGAGAGAGAGAGAGAGAGAGAGAGAGAGAGAGAGACGTATGAACTTTCATGATGACAATATTTTTGAAAGAGTAGCGATACCCAAAATTTAATTATGACAATGTTTTTGAAGGGGTAGCAGTACCCATCATTGATCTCTTTCTCTGTCTGTCTCTCTCTCTCTCTCTCTCTCTCTCTCTCTCTTTGTATGTCTCTCATTCTATTTCTTTGTGGCAAAATAAATGACATTAACAGAAAAAAACATTAACAACATAGAGACAACTGGCAATGACATAAATGATATG